AGCCTCGACCTGCTGGGCTCCGGTGATCCTTCCACCTCAGCCTTCCAAGTAGCCGGAATTACAGGCATCCGCTACCATGCCCAGCTGATTTTTTGATTTATTGTAGAGATGAGGTCTTGCTGCCCAGGCGGGTCTCGGACCCACAGGCTCAGGCAATCCACTCACCTCAGTCTCCCAAAGGCGCAAGATTACAGGCTGAGCCACCAAGCCCGGCGACATTAAATCTTAAAGCTGGGGAATAACCTCCCTCGACTTCATGTCCAGCACACTGGTGTGGGGTTGGGCTCCCAAAGCCTTGGGCATCCCTTCCCCCATGGCTTTTCTGGGCTCAGGCCATGCTTCAGCTTTCCCAGGCTAGCAATGAACTCTGGTAGCTCTAGTGTTGTAAGGTCTTGGTGGTGGTCCCACCCCCATGGCTCCACTAGGTATTGTCCTGGTGAAAACTCTGTGGCAAGTTCGACCCCACATTTCTGTTTGGCATTGCCCTAGTGGGGGCTTTCTGTTCTCTCTGTGGTGGCTCCGCCCTTCCATCAGTCTCCACCTGGGCCCACAAGCCATTCCATACATTCTTTGAAATCCAGGTGGGAGCTGTCATGCCTCCCAGGCTCTTGCATTTTGTGAGCCTGCAGAATTAACACAACCATATGGACACCTCCAAGGTTTAGCGCTTGTACCTTTCAGAGCAGTGGGTTGAACTGCACCTGGGCCACTTGAGCCACAGTTGGGGTAGCTGAGGAGTGCTGGGCTAGAATGTAGGGGGCAGACACGGGGTCTTGGGCAACAAGCCAGTGGAAGGTGTTGTGGGTCTGTTCCAAGAAACCATTCTGCCCTCTTAGGCCTCCAGGCCTGTGACAGGAGGGGAAGCTTCTAAGATCTCTGAAATGCCTTCAGGGTCTTCCTTCCATTCTCTTGATCATTCTTCTCTCTGTTCTAATCTCCTCAGCAAAGGTCACTGGGCTATACCCTAAATTTCCTCTGCTGAACTTGCTTTTTCACTCTTTACATGGCCAGGCTTGAGAGTTTTCCCAGCCTTTCTTCTTTGCTTCCCTTTTGATTATAAACTCCATCTTTAAGTCATTTTTCCTTCTCACAGGTTAAAATAAGTGGTTAAAGGTAGCCATGCAGCAATTTGAATGCTTCACTGCTTACATATTTACTTCTCCAGATATCCTAATTCACAGATCTGAAGTTCTGCATTTCATAAAGCCCTAAGACATGGACACAAAGCAGCTAAATTCTTTGCCAGCTTATAACGAGAATGGCCTTTACTCAAGTTTCCAACACTTCATCCCTCAGTTCCACCTGAAACCTCATCAGAATGGCCCTTACTGTCCATATGTCTATCAGCATTATGGTCATAACCACTTAACCAGTCTCTGTGGAGTGCCAAACATTCCCGAGTCTTCTTGTCTTCTAAGCTGTGAGAAATAAGAATGGTGATTTATTTTCAAATTGGAGCCCAGTTTATCTGGGGCTCTCAAGATGGTGTCTAAATGCTTTGTGCTTCTCTTCGCTGATTCACTTCCTGCTTCTTTGTGCTTCCTTTTTGTGGGCTCTTTACTTTGGTGGGCTACTTTGGGCAGAATCCAATCAGAATAGTAATCCTGTAAGCCAACTGGCAAATAGGACACGTAAATGAGATAATTCTGTAAAACCAATCAACATGTAACTTGTAGGCATCCTATGGCAAAGCATGTAACTCCTGCAAGTATTCCTCCAATGAGGAACTAGGAGAGGGATGTGCATTTTAGGGATAAAGGTGCTGATTCTTCCTGCTTTGGTTTGCTTGCTCACCAGATATCAATCTTGCAAAACCATCATTAAAGTCCCACTTCTGCTGCACTCCACGTCTCTGTGTCCATCCTTTGATTTTGGACAGGTGAGTTCAATTCTCATATAAGCCTTCACCAGAATCTACGCTTTTTCAAGCCTGCTCCTCCAAATTCTTCCAGCCTCTGTCCAATACCCAGTTCCAAAGCCGCTTTCGAATTTTCAAGTATTTCTTATAAGCAACACCCCACTGTCAGTACCAATTTTCCTATCTTAGTTCATTTTCTGTTGCTTATAATAGAATGCCTAAAATTGAGTAATTTATAAAGAAAAATAAATTTATTTCTTACAATTAAAGAGACTAAGAAGTCCAAGGTTGAGAGGCCATATCTGGTGAGGGTCTTCTTGTTGGTGGGTGCTCTCTCCAGAGTCCTGGGGCCGTGCAGGGCATCACTTTGCGAGTGGCCTGAGTGTGCTAGATTGGGTTTCTTTTCCTCTTTCTATAAGTCCACCAGTCCCCATAAATCCATTATTCTATGAACGAATGAATCCATTCATATGAGCAGAGACTTCATTACCCAGTCACCTCTTAAACGCTCTATCTCTCAATACTGCCACGTTGGGGATCGAGTTTCAGCATGAGTTTCGGGGGGAACAAATACTCAAACCATACAACCTGGAAATTACTGTTAACATTCCAAACTGTGGGATGCAAGCAATAATACATTCTAAAAAATTAGTAAGGAGTAATTATTGCATTATACTGAAATATTGCATTGTAAATCGTTTTAGCATTGAATTTGATGTATCTTTTAATTTTTGGAACTGAACCCTAAAGTAAATGCTGATTTCTCTTGAGACAAGGTAATACTTAATGATAAATTCTAATGTTTCTTGATTGTCCAGAAAGGATTTTAAGAGCTTGAATGGTACATGTGTCCAAAAAACCTGTAACAACAGATGACAGAATGGAGGGTTTTGTTTACCAAGAGCACACCATTAGCAGAATTGAAGAATTCATGTTTATTTTTTAACTTTTAGGGGACAGTCTTTTCCTCTGGTTTTCAGACTTTGAGATTGTAAGACCTCAAAGTATTTTTTGAAAATTAGGAACCAACGTGAGATTGCTAATGTTTTGTTTCCTACAATTTAAACACATATATATATTTTAAAAACCATATCATCTATCATAAT